TTTTTTTTTATGATTAAGTGTGCAGTGGGTCACATTGACCCATAATATTTTTTACTGTATTGGGAATCAAGGAAAATAATTACCTGGAGTTTCTTGTGCGTTTTTTTCCCCTAAATGATAATAATTTGGGGAAAAAAAGTTTTTTTTCCAGTTCAATAATAAGACAATATTTTTAAAAATGTTTGTCCCCATCGTCCATTGCAGGGAAGGACATGGCCGCGGTGCAAAGGACCCTGATGGCATTGGGCAGCGTGGCCGTAACCAATGACGACGGCCTCTACAAAGGCGACCCAGACTGGTTCCACAGGTTAAAAACTTCCCATCCCCTCGTCTTCTTCCTCTACGTCAGCGCCGTCATCCCCCCTCTGTCTACACAGGAAAGCGCAGGGCTATCGACGAGAGTTTCCCGCGGAGCAGCTGCGCCAAGGCCGGAGTCTGATCAGCCTCCAGATGGGCAGCAACCGCGGAGCATCTCAGTCAGGCATGACGGGCTATGGTATGCACCGTCAAATCATGTAGAAGACGACGAGCTCGCCGTCGCTTCCTGTACCTCCTTCCTCGTTTCTACTAACACTCGAGTCACGTAGCCTATTCTGCCTTTCTGCTGACCCTAACCACCCTGAAACTGCTGCTTTCAACCACGACGTCTTCCGCTCTTTGTGTTTTCCTGCTCCGATCGCGCCGCTCGTCCCTTTCACTTGATGATTTTTAACGTGCCACTCCCAAGTTCTCTGTTTAGCCCCGCTGACATCTGATTAAAATGTCAAGCAAGCCATCAGTGTTCATTGCTGCTATGAAAAAAAAAGAAAAAAAAAAGGCATGCTTCTTGAATGACATTTACCACGGGTGATTGTTTTACAGTGCTTGGTTATTATGTAACGGTGTGCTCGGTTAGCCTCACGTCGTGCCTGGTTTACGGAACGAGAGACCACAAAGGTCCAAGTCCTGCTACACTTGCCTCAAAATGTGTACTTTCTTTCTTTTTTTTTTTTTTTTTTTTGTGTGTGTATGTGTGTTATGTTTATGGTATTTGTTTTCCCAAGATATATTTTATCTGGAGGCTCACTGGAGGAAAGGAAATAAAGTACATGAACCGAATATGCGAGTGTGTTTGTGTATATAAAATCAAATAATGAGTCGCTGTTTTTTTATTTTATTTTTTTATTTTTTTTTTTTTTGCCCTGATTTGAAGAGAAAAATCCACAACTTGAAAAATGAATGTGAATTTTAAAAATATATATTGGTTGTATGCTTTTTATTTTATAAAAAGTATAGATTTTGAAATGAATGTTTCTCTGCAAGGAAAATTTGACATGCAGACCCCCCCCCCAAAAAAAAAATCAATTTTATTCACACTAAATGCTCTCATTGAAGAAGATAAAATTGAAAAATATAGACTGTGCATTAAAAAAAAATTCAAAATACAATTTTTGGATGAATGCATTTTCATGGTTAGGAGTCACATTCATGTCAATGCACTTTTTTTTTTTTTTTCAATGGCATAATAACCTGAACAAGTCTGTGTTGACTTTAATTCCACTGTAGGTTACGGAGCAGGAGTGTGTTCACTTTGCGATGATGTTATTGTCTTCTCTCCCTCCCCTGGGTTTCATCCCTCCTTGCCTGCCTGCTCGTATCTCCTTGCCGAGTACAATTTAATAATAAAGAGGCAGCCGGACGACAACAGCATTAGAACAGCAGCTTCATGCGGATGTACTGATGACACCGTCCTGGTTAAGTCAAGAAAAAAAAAAAGGCAGAGACCAGAAGATGTTGGATTGTTTTGGGTGTTGAACCCTTTCAGGGAAAAGCGGTTATTCCAATGGACAGTTTATCATGTTATCAGGTTACAGGGTGCATGTGTGCAAGTGTTATAAATCCGATACATCTCTTGACGAAAGTGTCATTTGGCAGCGGATGAAGTGCCGCATTGGCAAGTGAAAATACAATCACTGATTAATTTGCAAATTTTGCAATTTTTTTTTTTTTACATTTTTTTTTTTTTTTTGCAATTTACTGTAATAACGGTTATCTTCATTGTTTTTTTTTTCCAAAGTGGTATTTGGTGTCAAGAACCGATTTACAATTAATCAACTAACAACGTAAAATAAATGCACACGGATGAACAAATTCTAATGTTAAAATAATAGGGCTGAATTTAACAGTAGCAAGATGAAGTTCCGTTGACTTTTCGAGCCTGGCTGGTTCTCTTAGTTTAATATTAGCGCCACGCTAGGGGGGATGTGTAACTCACAATAAGTAAGCCAAAAAAAAAAAAAAAAAGCTCAAGCACCCAATTGAGTTGCGGTCCAAAGTTCTTGCCGAGCTTCAGTTTTTCCACTTTAGTTCTCCAGATCACATGAAACCAATTTGAAGCAAACACATCGTGCGTTATTAGCTCGGCAATGCTAACGACGAGTTTCAGCGTCACTCTCTTGCTCCTCCTACTGGGAGTTCGGTGTGTTGCGCAGGATGGCGGTCCGAACGGGAACGCCAAGGGCTGCGTTTGCGGCTATCCGGGGATCCCCGGGGACCCCGGGCACAACGGGGCACCCGGAAGAGACGGCAGGGACGGATTGCGAGGCGAGAAAGGGGACATGGGTGAGTGATCCAAGTTTGAAGTTGTTGTTGGCCGCTGTGTTTCTGACACTTTGTCTCCCCGTAAGGTGGAATTGGTGCGGTAGGACCAGCGGGAAAAGAAGGACAAAAGGGAGACATAGGGCCGCCTGGTAAGTACTAATTTATTTATTTCGGGGGGCGGGGGGCGAGATAGTATGCAAACTTGGCTGAGATTCGAACACAGAACTTCTGATTTTTTTTTTTTTTTTTATGTCTAGGGGCACCTGGTCCAGCGGGGCTCAAGGGAAAAAGGGGGGGCAATGGAGGCCACGGCACCACTGGTCATTCAGGGGCCAATGGGTCCTCCGGGTAGGTTGGGGTCTAAAGGGGAAGTGGGCGCTCCAGGCACAAAAGGCGGAGTGGGTCACAGGGGGGAACGGGGGTCTCGAGGAGACAAGGGTGACAAAGGCGAGCAGGGAGATGCTTGGGTCATCTCCAAAAGCGCTTTCTCCGTGGGACTCACCACACAGAGCAAACTCCCGACGGCTCATACGCCCATCCGGTTTGACAAGATTATTTACAACCAACAAAACCATTATGATCCCCAAACCGGAAGGTTCACATGCTCGGCAGCCGGCGCATACTTTTTCACCTATCACATCACCGTCTTCTCCAGGAATGTGAAAGTGGCTTTGGTGAAGAACGGTGCCAAGGTGCTTCACACGACAGACAGCTACCAAAGCGGCGAGGACCAGGCGGCCGGGGCCACCGTGCTGCAGCTGGAGCCCGGAGACAAAGTGTGGCTGCAAGTCGTCGGGGGAGAACTTTTTAACGGGCTCTTTGCTGATGAAGATGACGACACAACCTTCTCCGGGTTCCTCATTTTCGGGGCCTAGTTTTGAGTGGAGGAGTTTGTCCTGAATAATGTAAGTAAGCATCATGGTTTGCATCAAGGTTCACCTTCACCCCTGCAAATTTTGATGTTCATTCCCTGCAATTTTCTCACAATGCTGCGTTAAGGTTTACGCGGGTGACACGGTTGCTGATGTACATTTTGATTTGGATAAGTTACGTTTGTCCTACAATACCAAAGCAATATAAAACTTGTATCTTTTAAACCCCATAAAATGTTTTTACTATTTTGAGAGGTCATTTATGCCCCATTGTCATGTTGAGCTGAACATATTTTGGTCTCTTTATTTTTTTTTTGTATGGACTTTTTCCCCCCCCCCTCATTGTTGTATGTAGGATCCCCATGAAAATGAAAAGGTGTATCTCAAACGATGACTGTACTCCTAATAATAAAGCATTTAAATGTTGCCTCTTTTCTCCTTGCTTTTTGGGATGGGCAAGCATGAACACCCGTGTCACAATTTGACGGGGAAAAAACACGCACCAACTAGAAGGTCCAGTCTTTTGACTGAGCTTTATTTCCTCAGAGCAGGAAAGAGGCGTGACTGCTACGCCACCAGCCAGCGTGTGATTGGCGGACAGCGAACAGTCACGTGCCGATCAGCTAATATTATTCCGAAAGGATTTCTTCGACCCCGCCCCACCTTTTCACTTCATTTGCTCGCAGGAGTAAGAAGAGGGCGCGACTCTCCATATCATCCGACGCGTGGTTGGCCTGTTGCGTGACAGTCAAGCCGCGGTCAACCAATCGAATCTCTCCGGGCTCTCCTCAACCCCGCCCTCTTTTCGGAGACAACTGCAACAAGTGCATTAAGATGCTCTTCGTCCTCTTCGAGACGTACTTGTTTTAAACAGTAGTTTTCGCTGCCATGCGCAACAAGTTTCCTTCACCACCAACCCGAAATACTTTTTAATCACTTCAACTTTGCGTTTCAGGCACTTATATCTTCTCGCAAAGTCGAATTGAAGGAACTTGTTGGCGCGACTGAAGTTTATTGGCGAGTGCTCGTCAGCTAGCATTAGTTGCTACTGCTAGCCCTGTTTTTTTTTTCGAGGAGCCGGAAAAATGAAGTAGAAGCTATTTCTTTTCTTTTTTTAAATTGCCTTGTTTTCTTTTTAATTGACTCCCACTCGACATGGACGAGGGGAGCGACGCTTCAGAGAAAGCCCGGCTACTTTTCTATGGCTAAAAAGGGTCAGGAGGGGGAACATCAGAGACTATGAGTACGGTAAGTCGTCCATTTTGTGTTTCTAAGAGAACTTTTTAATTGAATTTGTGTTACCGCAGTTTTCTTCGCGTCATCATTGCGACTCCTGTGTTCGTGTGTGTGTGTGTGTGTGTGTGTGTGCGTGTGTGTGTGTGTGTGTGTGTGTGTGTGTGTGTGTGTGTGTGTGTCCTTTTCACTAATATTGAGGAGGTGGGAGGTAGTGTAAGGGTGCTTACAAAGAGCTTTATAGGCCAAAAGAAAGTGAATCAATGGCAGAAAGAACGAGGCACTTTAGCTCCAGTTCTTCACTGGTCTGAGTGTAGTGTTAATCCCTTTCCTTGCATTCAACAGCCCCACCAAAAAAAAAAAAAAAAAAGGATTCCTTTTAGAGAAGACAGTCATACAATAATAGTATTAATAATAGCTTGGATTTATAGTGCCTTTCAAGTGACCCGAGGACGCTTAACAATAACTCACGAGGATAGTTAAAATGATTCTCCATGTCATGAAAGCTGCTCCTTGTCGGGTTTACGAAAGAGAAAGCTTGGTTGTAAACCTCTCAAGATGATGCACAGAAAGGTCCGGATCACTTTTGGCAGTGGTGGAAATTCAGATCAGCTGGTAACGGCCTGCTGCCCAATTTAAGGTACGGTAAGTAGAGTACTTGAAAAGATGAAAGTATTTATCACTGTCATAAATGTCTTAAAATCAATTAAAATTTTTCATAGGAAAGTATAATTGGTATGCAAAATAGATTATACGCAACGTCCACTTCCTGTCGTCTACTTTCTCTTTCATAATTGTTTGCCGCTCATGAATTTGAATTGTTTCAGTTCCTTCAACGGGTTCAAATTCCATATTCCATTCCGGCCTCAGTATCGGTGTTGATTCTTGACAGGGCTCGTCCGTGTATTGTATTAAATTCCCCGGTTGTCTGTCGCTATGACAGCGGATCAGGTGCACGCTGTTTTGCGCCCTCCGTGCGCGAGCACAGACATCCCTCCCCGGTGCAGGCCAAGCTTCCCACGCTCTCTTCGTGGTAGGGGGGCGGGGACTTCTGCCATTCACCTTCCCGATGGCACATCCTGAAATGGGGAAGTCGACGTCAAAGTGAGTGAATGCGTCGCGGCTTTGTAAAACATTTCGTCACTGCACACGGAACGTGTCAAGTAACCGTTCAACATTCTTAACCGTGAAAGGATGTAAAGTACCTTCCTAACAAGCAGGAAAGTAAAACCACTTAACCTTTACTATCTGATGTTGGCTTGGTAAAGGGGAGTTTGAAACGATTAATTGAATTACTCGAGAGCCTGTCTTTCAAAGCCGCACATTCATAGTCACAGATACTACAGTGTAGAACTTGAGTGACTTGACGTTGCGGTGTACTTGTTTTTTTTTTTTTTTTTTTTTTTTTTTTTTAACATATGTTGAGTTACCGTTGCAGGACGGGTGTACAGCTTCAGTTTTTATGCTATTGCTAATTCGTAATAAAATCTTCTGCGCTGGTCTCACTGAAAAACATCACATTCGTTATGGGCACTATTGGAGGTAGCCAAAGCCTTTCTCTTCATGTTTAACCCAAAAGAGTGCAGTGCATACTGGCCTAGTTCAGCCCCCAGTCCCAAGTCCCGACCCCCACCTTACTGGCTGCAACCCGGTGGGCCGCTTGCAAACTTTGGAGTGTCACTCGAAGTCAGCGCCGAATAGCCCGCTTGTCTGCCTGATTAGGCTATCATGTGTAAATGAAACCACGCTCGAAAGCAAAGCTGTGCTAATCACTTTAGCAATGGCATGGAAGGGGAATATGACACACACACACACACACACACACACACACACACACACACATGCGCAAATACACATACAGGACTTGTGCAGTGTGTTAGGATGAGCTGACTCTTAGCATCTGCTAATTGGTCTTGAGCGTTTTGAATGTTTATTCAAGTGAGCTTTGCACACCCAATCAAAAAAAAAAAAACAATCGTGAGCAAGGCATTTTTAAATGCGCCAAATGAGTCCGGTTGTTTTCATGATTGTTTGTGAAAAGCCGTTCACTTTATATAAAACTAAAGTTTAATGTAGCATTCAAAAAATGTAAAAAGGGATATACAGCTTCTTGTTGCTTTCAAGCTTAGCTTGTAGCAGACGGGTGCACAATTGCAGCATGACGTCTTTGATCCACTGGTGAAAAGGGCACTTTGATTTGCTCCTCTTTCATCTATAACTGCTTCAGACAACAAAGTGTATGCAGGAAAGTGGTTAAGATTGCACGATTGTCTGTGTCTCATGTCTTGTATTATTTTGTCATTTTTTTGTTAACTTTTGCTTTTGATGGCGGCGCGGACACCCGCAGCGGCTCCTCTTGTTTTATGTTGAGAGGGAAGAAATGTCATCTGTGCTGTATGTTACACATACATACAGCACATTTGACAATAAAGTTGTATTCAATTCAATTCAATATATGTATAGATATAGGAAGAAAAAAATCAAATATACTAAATTGAATATGATTGTTATGAACCTGTAATTTTATTCCAGGAATATTTAATTTTTGTAATCCCCCCCCCCCACTCGTGTTGACATGGTTGAAATGTTGTGACTGATCATAATTTTTAGTAATAACAATCACAATCTTGAACTGACTGTGAAAATGAATTCCCATTCAGTTAAAATGAATGTACACTTTACATGGATTTAACAGAAACATGTTTATGGAGAACAATTACAAAATAAATGAGATTTAAGATCTACTTTATTTCCCAAAACAAATGTAAAATTAGAAGAATATAATTTTTACTGAACATGCAACAAAGAAAATAAATTACCTGGTCCCACTAAAAAAAAAATATAATACTAACATCTTGTTTTCGGACCTTTCCACATATTTATTTATTTATGCGATTGAATAACCCTGACGGATCATAATTGAGTACTGTGAATTCAACCAGGGCTTTATTATTTTCTTCTTACATTTTCCAGTCCATCATGATAACTCGACAGTTGGGGTTTGGTTTTAAAGTAAACGTAAAAGAGACGTGTGATGAATTATCTTAATATGAATACATGATGCAAAATTGCCTCACTCAATAAATATTACTGCCCCTTATTGAGTAATTTATTTCTCCCTTCTTTGTGTGGTTCGTCGGTATTTTACTGCCCCTGGTGTCCAAGGCGCACACACCAGAACCGATTAATGCCATTTCCATTCATTTGAATGGCAAATGACAATTTGCGTGATCACTGAACGACAAGACAACAAGTATGTCGTCTGGTACCTTCACGATGCTGAGAAAGGCTCAGAAAAAGCGATGGAAAACGATAAGCGCCCGTTTTCCCATGATCCGCCCTTGTCTGGAGGCCGTGGGCTCTAATGCTCAGCTCTTTCCGCCCTTAATGAATTTGATCCCCGGCCCAAGGCGAGAGACATACCTTTGCAGAGGTGACCTCCTTCTCAGAGTTTAGTCGTGCCCCTCCTCCCCCCCCATCGCCATAGATATCAGATTGTTGGGGGCATTTTATATTTTATAGCTTAACAAGAAGGGACTCAGTGATTGACGTGTTCCGCTCGGTATGTGGACGCAAGTGTGCATGGTTTTTTTTTTTTTTTTTTAATTTTATTTATTTTGTATTTTTTTTTCTCCTTCTCCCCCCCTAGTGCGTGCATGTTTACATATCTGCATGCATGTTCATCCTTGTCTCCGGGAGTCTAATCTGAGGCTGGCTCCAGCTGGCTGCGTGAACCTGACGGGGGGGAGGGGGGTGCTGGAGGGTGGGAAAGGGAATTGGGCGCGCGACTCCTCCCTGAGCTCTTCATTAACTCAAGACTAGGACCTCGGCAAAGAATAGAATAGCAGCATGCAAAAAAAACAAAGCGAATGCACCAGAGTGCACATGTATATTCAAAAAAACAATAAAATAAAATAAAAAAAACGTTTTCGTCACATAATCATTATATTGTAGTAATCTGACATTTCAATTCCATTTTAATTCTGTGAAAAAAAAGACTTGTAAAATTTAGCATATTCTTTTTATTTAATTCATTTTATTATCATAAACTCAAAATCCCTACCTTGAATATTTGTTTGGGGAAAAAAAAAACGGTAAAATATATTTTTCAAGCAAGCCAAACTATTCTCATATGCCCTTGTTCTCATTATCGTACTACTTTTTCTCATAAAATCCCAATTTAATTATTGTAT